TATTATCTTCAGGAACTCGGAATCAACAAATCTCATTGGGCTCGAAAACCGAATATATGACATCTGATGCTATTCTATCGCTCGAAGTCTCACGGAAAACAACTGAGGCTGAACCTTTCAATTAAATAAATCTCAGTTCTGCTATGATAATGGTTCAGGAAGATGAACAGTTGCCTGGCTCATGACAAGAGTCCGAAAATCTGTCTAAATAACCTCACAGCATCAACAATTAAAATCAGATGATTCGACGAGCTTTCAGTTACACCGGATGCACCGCTCAGATGAATACTACCAAGTCACCGGGGATCCGGACCTCGATATTCAGGATGGAAAAACACGTATTCATGCTCAAATCGGTTGGCAAAGCGCAGAATCCGATCCAGAACTTCCGCCTAAGGCAATACCGGCTTCTAACATCCGGTTTCTGAGTTGAATGTCCTTTCTGCTTTCAGTGCTTTCAAGTTTGTTTGCAGTGTTCCACTTTGTTCCATTGAATTTTTCCATTCGGTGGTCATCATCTTCCTGTTCGGCACTTCGAAATCACTGATCACCGATGACCACTGAATTTTTTCGGGTCTTTTTTCCATCGACTTTCCTTCCAACTGGCATAAGTCCAATCACACAACTTGGCAATGAAATGAAGCCGATTGGCGCGAAATTTATCAGTTTTTGCTCTCCGATCGGGAGATCATCCAGTGGCTGATCGGACCAATTCGTTGACATTAATCACTGATGTGAAGCACTGAGCCATCAGCCGGTCAGCGCAGTGCAAAGTGGTGACGAGTTCAGCGCTTGAGCGCCCTTCTAACGGATGAAATCGGCTCGACTTCACTCCTTTTATCCGTTTTCTGCTGCAGTCTCTTCTCGTCTTCGATGATAGCCAAGCTTGTGGGGACATCTCTTATTTCTGGATCACAGAAATAAGTGGCGAGTTCCGAAAAGTTCCGAAATCGGCGGAAACTTAACACTTATAGAAACGTAGGTCGATAACGCAAAATTTTAACCGGGAAATAGAAACGAATGTGCGAAATGAATGCGAAAACGTTATGCATTTGTTTGCCACAAAATGTGCTCACAAACACACAAACAGCAGTAGCACCAAGAAAGCAGTCATTCGTACACGCAAGCCATCGACATCATTCAATACACGCGTACGCACCTAATCATCTGTACCATTCAATTTCGTCCTCTCTCA